CCCCGCCCCCCCAGAGGACTCCAAGGTCAGAGGAAGCTTCACGGTAAGGCAGGTGAGAGTAGAGTGTCATCAATTGTCTATAGATTCTGGTTTGTCCACATTACATTGTGGGAACATTGTCACAGTGTGATTAGCCTCCGATGGAAGCCGCTGTTCACACATGATCATATTTTATACAATGTGCCAACGTGTTCTGCAATTTGCATATATAAAGTCATAATTCATATTACAAACCCCAGACTCGGGAAGTACAACAGGGAGGAGATGAAGCTGATGGATTTGCATCCTCTTCATTGCCTTGTTTTGTGTTTTCTTAAACCTGAATGTGTAATGTCATATAGATTGTGGAAGGGTCAGGCCCTCTGGTGTGTTTTTGTTGCTTTCTTTGTACCTGCTGGGGTGATTCACCTTCTCCATTTGTCCTAGGTGATTATTCTCACCAAGTTTAAAATGTGATGGGAAATCCAAAAAAGAAAGAGTTGTCACCAAAGCTGGAGATGAGGGGAAATCATCCAATGGGGACACCTGCGTGAGATGGGCAATTCCCCTCACTTTAGAGAGATTTCCTCTCATTTCCTGTTGTCTTTCCAGGACAGGAAGTGAAGGGAATATTATTAATCCTCATACTCCTAGTATTGCACCATTTACCCCCAAACCTGCCAATGATGTGCATCCCAATCAGAACCCCACCAGTTCCACCTGCCCCACCAAAGGGGCTTGCAGGCCACCAGCACCAGTTTAAAGGAGAACTAGGGGGTTAAGGCTTTTCCTCATAGTTCTCCTTAGGGTAACGGGAGGACAAAAACTAGCGTCCTCCCGTTACCTTTATCTACTGAGCCGACCTGTGACAGTCTCATTGTCACAGGTCGGCCAGAACTATGAGGAGGAGGGAAAAGCACGCCCCTCATAGTTCTCCTTTTAATTCAGTCTGGGTTGGGCAGGTGTGTTCCAGCCTCCAACGCTTTTAACCTTTTCAGGGCAAGTGCAGAGTGTTGAGCAGCTTCAATCAGAGGTAGCCTTGCGGCTTGCTCAGGAGTAAGGATGATATGTCCGTAAGTTAAAAGTCGTGCGACCTTACAGTAGTAGAGGTCGCGCGGCTTCCACACACCTTACGATGGTGTGTGGAAGCTCAGGAGTGGTGGTGAAATGGTGAATTGTTGGGTTGTAAACGGGACAGTCCTGGTGCTGCAGCGAGAGGTCTTCCAACTAATCATCCCGGAGCCTTTTATTGGTCCCCAGAAGCGCCAGATGTATCGGATCATTCGGGGGTACCCTGGTGCAAGCCCATAGGGATTTTTGTGGGGGTTACCATGTATTCCATCCTGCCAAAAGTCCTTGCAGCGTGAGTCATGAATGCTCATCAAAGCCCCTAAGATGTCTCCATTATTGTTCTGCCAGCTTAGGACCATCGCCCTTCCCCCGGTCCGCTGACTCCCTCATCCTGGTGAGATGAGCCGGAGAAATGTTCTTTTATGTCGGGAAATGATGTGTGAATGACCATCAGAGGACTCTGTGCACCTCCGAGCTGGTGGGGGGTGGGGGGGGGGGGGAGTTGTCCATGCAGCTCAGTTCATTTTTTGAGAAGAAAATTGTGGGCAGACATAATGGGCAGCAAAGCATAATGTAGCAGAAGGTACCTTTCCTTCTCCTCCACTGCCCTTGCCCTTCCTTGCCAGCCTGAGGATGGGTGTGTGGTGCGGCCGGGACGGGGTGTAAGAAGACCTCTGAGTCATTTGTAGGTTCGTTTTACAAGTTCCCGTCTTGTCGGCTAATGAATGCGACTCTCCCACCTGAGCACGCAGCCAGGTCCATTCTGGTTAATGAGTAATCTCGGCAGTTTCCTCGGCCGCGGAGTCGCTGCAATTCTCCTCACGCGCTGATTTTGTTTTTCCTGTCAGATTTTGGTTCAGTTTTTCAACGGAGGGCTTTTCCACAGCGGGTACATTGAGCTGCTCAGCACGGGGACGCGGCAAATACAATTGCCGTCTATGTGCCCCGTACACACCAAACCATTGCGCCGGTGTGGGTTAAAGGAGAACTATGGGGTCAGGTCTTTTCCCCATAGTTCTCCTTAGGGTCACGGGAGGACATAAACTAGCGTCCTCCCGTCACCCAAAGCTCAGTATATAGGGAGCTACAGCTCGCGGTATAATGAGACGCGGCAGCTGAAGCTGATCCCGACAATTCTGTCTGGATCCGCCCAGCTGCGTGAGTGACAGCGGGCTTCAGATTGAGGCTGAGTGAAAATCACTCGCCTCATAATTCTCTAAGGAAAAATCTAGGCCTGCTGCGTCTTTAAGAAGTGCAACTCCCAAAAACGCATTTTAATGTCGCAACACATTAAAATGCGACACCAAGAAATAGAAAGTCGGGGGCAGCAATAAAAACATTGTCAGAAGTTCAAATCCTTCCTCGCGTTACTAAACATTGGGGGGGGGACGTTATCAGAACCGGAGCAGACACAATCTGGAGCGGCTGTGCACGGCGACCAATCGGCTTCTCTCTTCAGTTTGTTCAGTTAAGATTTGAAAATGAAAGAGAGAAGCCGA